GACTGAAACAAATCTAGCATTTTTGGGTATTACATGTATACGTACGTATATATGTATATGTTACGCAACTGCACACGGTAGAAAATCCCTGCTCGCGTACGCGGGCCATTTGATATGCGATATACAAATGCGAGATGGCACAATAGAGGTAATTGTGACGCCGCTGACAAATGGCACCCGCGCGAGTCGGCGCACATGAGTCGTGGCGGCCCGCGCCGACACGAGAGATATCGTCGGGGGTTGTCAAACGCCCACAGGAAAAGCGGGGCACGCGCTTTTGCCATTTCGCGCCGCGAAATGGAAGAGCAAACGCTATAATGGGGTGGCAACGAGTCCCAGGAGCATCGTTTCTTCCGCTCCCTCGCTCGCCGTCTTCCGTCTCTTTCTCTCTCTCCCCTCTTTCTTTCTCCTTCTTTTTCCCTTCTTCTCTGTCTCGTAGCAGTTGTCTCTTTCTCTTGTTCCCTCTCTTTCTCTTTCATCGCTCGTTCGCATTTTCCACTCGAGAAAAATAGCTCGGCTGGATTGCGAGTCTACTCGTTCAAAGACAAACTATGATGAACCAATGTCAAATCGGCCAAGACACGTTTTGAAAAATTTTCCCCGATACTGTTGAATGTGCATAAAATATATTAGCACAAAAATAATTAAACGTACAATATAATATATATATTTTCGCTTCTCAAGATGTGAGGAAGGAGTACAACTGATATACGTATTTTGTGCTTACAATCGCGTTATTGAGAACATTCTCGTGCAGTCGCGTTCAACGCGTCATCATCGGGATCTGGGTAATCATAGGTGCCAGTCCCGATATCGGTGAGATGAAAAACGCCGACGGTAATCCTTCCTGACTGACTCACACGCTTGCATGCGGCCCGTACGTGCAACGAAAAATCCCGACCCGACACTCGCCACCCTTCAAACAAGAGCCCATACAATCCGCAAACTATCTGAGGGGTGTTGCCGCGAATAGTGTCTTCAGAATGTAAAAAGTTGGAACTTCGAGTCGTGCAGAGTTGTCCCGTTAACCGTGTGAAAAAGTTTTCCAGAAACTAGAAACGATGATTTTTTCCAAGTCACCTTTTTCGCAGATATGATATTAAGAGGGCGAATCGTTCATCTTCGATGTTAAATCGTTTTTATTTTCCCAGTTTTCATTCTTTTTATATTTTATAAATTTTACAAATTTTCTTTTTATATTTTATAGAATTTGTCATAAATTAAAAATTATATTATATTTAAATATTATATAAAATATTTAAATATTATATATGTATTTTATAATTTAAATATTATATATATTATAAAATTTAAATATTCTATATTTTATTCAATGTTATATTTTTTCTAAAAAATTTGATATATGTTACTATACACCTTATCAGATTATATTATTAATTCTTTTTCATTATTGTTGTCATTATATAGTCTCTATTAAAACTTTATTTTTTCATTACATTTAGGTAATTTTCTTAATTTTAATAAATAATACAAATATTTATTTAAATCATCATTCCCTACAGAAATTTCATATAATAAATTAATTACACATACAGGGGAGGACAAGCATTTGTTATTTTTCAATATATGAATAATCTGATTCTCTCATTTCTTACTATTATATCGCATTTTGGTGAATGATATAACTTCTTTCATCTCGCGATAAAGAGGGAGATTGATTCGAAATTGCGAAATTATCTTTGCGAATGTGGCGTGATGAGCTTCCCCGTCGCTCATACGAGGAATCTATCGCAATTAAGGCGAGTACAGTTTGAATTTTTTTTTTTGATTCGATTACAATCTTCAAGAGATAAAGAGTCTGCCTTTTGATAAGGTTTAAGGATATTTCATGTTTGTTTACGTGCATCAAGTTGCGCGACATTTGCTCTTTACGCGTCAAATATTTACACGTCTAACAATATGCAGCATGTATGACAGAAAAAAAGTAAAAAAAGAAGAAAAATTCGAGCCACATCGCGTGATATCGTATTGACAAAACTATAACGAACAGTGTCTAATATTTATTTTTCGTTTATCTCTCGTGTGTAGTGCTTTATTTATATAACAGAGATTTAAACTGATCATTACGCAATCATGAAGTAATCGATTTGTTATAAAAAATCTCTCATAATCGAGAAAGATTTCCTTTTAAAATGTTTTCTCGCTTATTGTTAAATCTTTCGCTTTTTCAAAATGTTACTCGCAAATTTGGCATAATTCTGTTTTCTCAGAAAAAAAATAATAAACTTTGTGTGTGCGCGTCTTTTTTATTTTTACAATTATCAATTTAATTATATTTTAATTATTTTAGATGAACAAATGATGATTGAAACACTAAGTTACATTTCGAAATCGGAATCGGTAGCGACGGATAAGATGTAACTATCGGTAGCGAACGCGTGTCAATTTATTGTATAACGTGCGTTCTCTTACACAGGATATACGGCAAAGATGTGATTCAAACATTATCATAGATATGGAGAGCTCGAAGTGCCCGCGATAACGATCGATCTCAATCTAAGTAAATGAAAACTCGAAACCCGACAGTTCATAATATATTGCTGGGTGTTATATTTGAACAGATTATACATAGATTTAATACAATAAACGTGCGCACGCCGACGCCTATCACCTAAATATCAATGTGTGTCGCCTAATTCTGTAAATCCTCCATACTTACGTTACATCTCGCACAAATATTTTTTGCACATATAATATCGTAAAATAATTATTTCGTAGGAAACGTAAAAAATATAGATGTATGAAATTTTATCTTCTAAAAAAATGTATACGTTATGTGAAAGTTTCAGACCCCTTAAAATTCATAATTGTTTTAAAATGGACGTGAACGTATTATTTTTTAAATAACTAAAATATAATCTTCAGATATATAAAAAATGTAGAGAAAATTTCGGTGTGAAAGTGATATATTCTCGTGCTTTGTTTTATTGTAAGGTCTCAATTTCTGAAAATAAATTCAGATTTTGTGACATAAAAAGATGAATTCTCTTTGTGTTATCTAGGTCTTCGTAAATTTTTCAACGTGAAAATTAAAACGGAAAAAAGTGTGTTTAAAAATATGCCCATTGTTTGAAATTTTTCTCTTCTCGCATTCTTCTCGCATTCTTCAAAACTCAAGGATTCTTACAACATATTTTTAGAAAGATCAAAGAGAAAACCGAAAGAAGAATGCATGTGTCGAAATAAAAATCTGAAAAATATAATAAGCACCGATGTGTGTGTTTTCGTAAAAGTTAGACAATCAGTTTGATTTTCTGTGAATACTTTTCACGAAAATATTGTACAAACTCCATTTTTCAACTCCAGGTTTTCTCAATAATTCATCGTTCCTCGATTCTATTATGTGTATCGGTCGTGCATCTTCGTCACGAGAACATCCTTTTGGGCCGAATTGCCAGCCATGTTGAATCCACCTGGATCCATGCCCGAAATGTGTACCGTCGAAAAGTCTATCTCTATAAGGTCGCCGCTTATTCGTGATGCCACGAAGGCCTCGGTGTCCCCTTATCGAGGAGTGGTGGATTAACGTGCACGCCTTTGATCTCGCCGGCGGGCCTTATCTAATCGTGTTCCTCTCTTCCATCTCGCCATCTCGCGCCGTTCCCATCCCTGTCTCTCATTCCTCTCCTTCTCTTTCTCTCTCTCTCTCTCTCTCTCTCTCTCTCTCTTTCTCTATTCTGTATTTTGTACGCGTGTTTTGTACCGCCACGAACGCGCCACGTCGTAAGAAACGCATTCACACCGTGCGATTGCCAACGCACTTTTTTTTTTACCGCTTTCTGACGTAGCTCGACGCGTCGCGTTTACCTCTTTCCTCTTTCCTTAGAAATAATAAGCGCTCCGCGTTACTCATCCGCGAATCGTAAATGCGTCTCTTCGTACTGTTGTTTCAGACTACCGTTATGGCTTTTTTATGTGCGCTTGTCTCTTCTGTATATAATTGCATTTGTCTTTTTTTTATATAATTTACATTTTTTAAATCATAAAAAATATAAATTTTAGTTTCCTCATATATATTAGAGGCTACACTCTACTTTGTTTTATTCCATCTCGAAATATTTCTTATGTGCTTAGCGCATGGTCGTTTTAGCAAGCTATTAACGTGACGAATGTGTAATGATTGTAATATGATATTAAATTTAGATTTAAATTTATAATATTTAAAACTAAACTGATTGGCGACGAATACATTAATAATTTACATTATTTCTAATTGTTATTTGGTTCTTATTTCTTTAATCCTTTCATAAATCTGAGATAAATAATTAAAATAAATCACAATAATTGTAATATTTATTGACATAATAAATAAATATATACTAGAATACTGAATTAAAGCAATTTAAAAATAATTAAGATTGAATGAACATTATCATAAAAAAACTCGTAATATAATTAATATTACTTTAATTAAATGAAATATTCAATGTTATAACGTGATTAGAAAAAACCTTAAATGAATATTCTCATCATAACCTGTGATTTGATAAAATTTTAAAACTGTTGAAAAATATTTTAGACTATTACATTATACATGTGGCGCATATCTATGTATTACATTCAAAATTATAGAATTTACACGCAATTATTTATCTCAGATGTAAAACTTTTTCTTATAAAATGGTTCATTACATCTACTTTGACCAATAATAATTTCTGTAAAATATTAATAATTTTTCTATATAATATGAATAAATTTTTCAATTAATTTCAAATAATATTCAGCGAAGGACAACCTTTCTCATATCGTCGATTATAATCGACGTGACTGTCGATCGTAGTCGGCGATGATACCGAAAGGATTAATCCGACGTGAAATTAATTTCGAAACATTGTTTCTTTGCTTGGTTAATGTCACTACGCGGTGTACGTGCTGAAAACGTTATCTCTTTAACGTATTATTGACAAGAGAATCAGTACGATAGATATTAACCACGTAATAATGCCGATCGTTATCTCTTCTTCTTCTTTTTTTTCAGGAAAAACTCGCACGAAAGACAAGTATCGTGTGGTTTACACTGACTATCAAAGACTGGAGCTTGAAAAAGAATTTCATCTCAACCATTACATCACGATCAAACGTAAAGCTGATCTTGCTCTTCAGCTCAATCTGACAGAACGACAAGTAAGTATAAATCCCACTCAAAAATTAACATTCAGTCTGTATGATGTCCTTTAATAGCTTCTTTTCGCACCATTCCTGCGATGTACGTATTAAGATTAAATTAGCAGAAATAAGCTTTATATCACAAAGTAAAAAAAAGAATAAGAAAAAGACAACTGCATACAATTATCTAGAGATTTCATTGTATATGATTTTTATATATTATATTTTACGAAAAAACTTAAATGCAAGGAGACAATAATTTTAGATTATGTATATTTTAAGAAATTATTTCATTTAATTATTATATACATGTTGATTTTAAGCTTTTCTTATGTAACTTTATTTCTGCTTTTTAGCTTCATTTTTATTTAAAATCATAAAAGAGGAATAATTTTGAAATTTATATTTAGATGTATTTTAAATTAATGCAAAGTATAAACACAGCTCTCTTCTTTCTTGAAAAAGTAATAGATAAATATAGTAATAGATAAACAATGAATACTAAGCAGAAATTATGCATATACTTGATCATCGCGACGCTTGATAAAGTAAAAAAAGTAAATAGAAGAGAATTGCCTAATACGTATCAATCTCTTAAATTACATCTCGTTATAAAAATTATCAGAGCTTGTCTTGCGCATGCTGCAAACATTTGAAAAAATCAAATATAATTGATGTAATTTTTAGACAAATTTATGTAATTGATATTAATCTAACAATGCGGTTCATTCTGATTATATATTTATGTTTCTTATAATAATAAATTTATTGTGTGTGAGAATTTTTTACATTTATATGATGTATATACATATTGTAATTACTATAATTATTAAAATTTAAATATTTTTATAAAACTTATCATGTTTCTTAAATCGTATCGCAAGACTTTTAGATTATCGATAATTTAAAAACGCATGCCTAACATACTCTTCTTACCACGCATCTAGCTTATCACATATAGATTATATATATCTACATTTATTACTGATAAATATATTAATATTCATTAATTGTTTTATTTGTCATATGTTTTGATTTATTAATATATAATTTGTATTTAATTATTAATACACACAATTAAAGAACGGACTAAAAGCCAGACGCAGAAAACAGGACACATAAATAATTGTCTTCAAAAGAGATTAATTATTAATTTATAATTAACAAATAATGATCAATATGTAATAAAGATTAATAATTAATTATTATTAATAATGTTACCAATTAATTAATTTTATAATAATTAATCATTAATTGAGAATTAAGTAATAAATCTTTTTTTAAGACAATTACTCACGCATTATTCTTGTTTTCTGAGTTTGACTCTTATTAGTCCATTTTACAAAATGCAGAATATAAATCTCTTAATTGTTAAAGAAATAAAGAATAATAACAATAGGAACAATGAATACTGTATACAAAGCAAAAATGGTGTACGCAACATATATAAAATATACATAAACATATATAATATAAATATATATAAATATATATTTTTAAGAAATACTGATATGTATTATCAGGAGAGATTAACTTTTAATTTAATAAAATTTAATTGGACAAAAAAAAGATAAAGATTATGGAAATTTCTCAAGTTAATCTCAATAAAATTACAAGACGATCAAATACAGTGTCAGCATTTTCAAAAGAACGATCCGGTTGAATGTTTCAGGTGAAAATCTGGTTCCAGAACCGACGGGCGAAACAGCGGAAACAGATGAAGAAGCAGGAGGAGCAGCGAACGAGGGATCAGCTGCGGCAGCAAGCGCAGGTAGTCACCGCCACCACGAACGTCGTGGACACGACGACCGGCGGAATGGCGAGTTACGCCGGTGGAGAAATGGGAGGGATGCTGGGCGGCCTGATGCACGCCAACGGCGGCGCTTCCTCTTCGTCCATGGCCATGTCAATGCAGGCAGCACCGCTCCTGCCAACATTGCCCGCGTGGATGTCGACATCTCCGTCCACGTCGTCCGCGCAACCCACGCAACCCCCCGTGCCACCGCAGCCCTTATCGCAGCCTTTATCACAACCCTTATCGCAACCCTTATCGCAACCCTCCTCGCAGTCCCTGACACAATCTTCATCTCTATCGGCGCCTCTGCATCCGTCGGAAATAATAGCCCTGAATACGGTGCTTAATCCATCGCACTCATCAGCACCGTAATACAATCTAATTTCGGGGCGTGCGGAAACCCTATTGTTCTCAAAAGGATGAATAGAACTTAACTTTTGAGACAAAGATAATGAGTGCAACAACGATGGGGGCGAATGCGAGTGGATATCAAGACGGTCCATTACCTTGTTCGTATCGTACTTTATTTATTACAAGACGAAATCGAAATAGTTCGTGATCGGGCGAATGGAATGTCTTATATTCACTTGCATGTTCCTCATCCGTCTGTGATAAGCGACTCTAATCAACGATTCGTGGATGTGTATATATGTATATACATATGAAACATATGTATATACATATGAAACATATGTATATACATATAAATATCTATATATATATATATAAATATTTATATATATATATATATTTTATATATATATATATATATATATATATATATATATATAAAATACGTATGTGGACTAATAGATGTACATAAAATAAAGTAGATGTAAATACATGTAAATAGATAGAGATTACTATAATTAAATAAATGATTTGATCTCATAAATTTCTTGACGTCCACATATCCACGGCAACTCTCGTTGATGTGAGTCGCATCTCGATTTTTCTATTAGCAAAAATTAAAACTTAATGCGCTACTAATTTAAATATAATTATTAAATATAATTATATATGCGTACTGGTGCGCATATATTTAAAGTCTGTATATAAATAGGATAAATAATTAGAGCTTATTAAGATAATTATTATTATATAAATTATCACTGTTATTGTTCATATTTAATACGAATAAATATAATGCGTATCAATATGCATCCAAATTAATCTGATATATGTTTTACGTTTAACCTTTTCCACAATTTAAGATACGCCTAACATCTGAAAGTGGATGTACAATAAACTGTATGAATGCCTCCATATGCCATATTCTATTATACTCTATTATTGCAATATATAATATTGTACCTGAATATTACCTGCCATTTCTTTGTAATATTCGCAACTTTCGTATAATTGCGTTTTAAGGTAAGGATAGCATAAGTATTCAAAAATAATAAAGTTAGCCAAAACATACGAGCTGATTCTTCAACTGCAAAGAGAGCATTTTACTTAATAGACGAGATAAAGAAAAACGCACTATAATGATTATGATGTCTATATATGTCTTATATATATTGGTTATTTCTCTATTGATTATAAATTAATTTTAATTATTTTTATTGGTAATTATAAATCATTTTTATTGCTATTATTTCTATTTTGACTATGAATTAACTTTAATTAAAATTGTATATAACGTTCGTGTAAAATTTTATTTAATGTTAAAATTTTAATTCTTGTGACAATTTTTAAATACACATGTCCGACGATGAAACTCCTTAAAACGATCATTTAATGCAAATACAATGCTGTAATGAGATTAGAGCCATTTTAAGTATCTCTTATTAAATGAAAAAGTACACAAAAAACATGACTTTTCTTATTCTGATCTACAGAAGTCGAACAATATTAAACTAAAATTTAATGGCTTTAGGAAGCATCATCGAATACACGTATTACTTAATAAAAGTTCTTCAATTTGTAATTAAAAAATTAGTCGGATTTAAGTCAAATTTGAATTAATCAAATGCATTGAATACCAAAAAATTTTGAATACTCGCGCATCCCCTAGTCACTATAATTTGATGTGACGTTTGTACTTCTTAAGAACGTAATATATACATATTAAAAAAATATGTATATATTAGATGTGGGTAAATAAAAGACCCACAATATAATATACATTATTTCATTTTATTTTATTTTTGTTTTATTATTCCATTAACGTTCGGAGTGTGATTGATCTTTAATATTATATATTGCAATTAATATTTTTTTCTAATATTATACATCGGCATATTTAATTTAGCGCACAATCTTTCTCTTCCATTTTTATATATTTTTTTATTTCTTTATGTGAACAAAAAAAAGTCGATCATGTGTATCTTGTACTTTTTTTTAATTTCCCGCGATTTATTACTTACGCATTTACACTTATCTCAAACATACATGCACATCAACGTCAATCATATGTGCATTTTGCTAAATATTAAATTTTATTAACAGAAAATATATAAGATTAACATAAACATGTGCCTTCGAATGAAATATGTAAATATGTCGAAAAAAATACGAAGTCGATACGAAGTTATTTAATTTGATAATTTAATCTAACAATATAATATGTATAAAAATGTTATGATCATTATTTAAAATCAAATTAAATATCTTAAATATATTAAAACATCCATACAAAATTTATTTTCTCTCTATATCCATTCGTATATTCCTATATCCGTTCGTATAATCACCTACACATAACAAAACATAGCAAACGATTAATTGTCGTTATAATCAATAAGTATAATTCAATAAGTATAATTTTTAATAAATAATATTGTATATATTGTATCGAATTTTGCAAAGATTGACATTGATTTTTTTATATCTGCTTAGCATGAAGATCTCATTGGAATTATATCAATTTTCTTCTTTCAATGTAACATCTATATTTTGATATTTTAAACAAAGTCAAATCATTTTCTTTTCGCACTATTTATATTTTTATCAATGTATTGGATTTGATTAACTTGTAAAATGACTAATAGAAAATTTAAAAAAAATTTCTATTATATTATATATGAAACTATTGTCAGAAACATTGATGCTGAAAAAAGGAAAGCTGCATTTTACACGTGAAAAAAATGCAAGAACTCAAATTCGATCCGACGAAACGTGAACTGAGAGTAATGAATAGAAAATTGAATTACATGTTATTAATTACTTATGTCATCCTTTTAACTCATGTCGAAAAAATGGGGTACACGAAGAATCTTTGGTTCCTTGCTCAACAACAAATCAGAAAAAAGAATCATTATTTAAATTTTTTCATCTCAATGCGATTTTACATTCAATTTTATGTATAAAATAGGTCATTTCTGGAATATAAATCAATTGTAGCTTTTTAAGAAAATTTTCCCCTTTTTCTTGCTTTTCAACGTTTCTTATTTTTATTATAACATTTTCAGATATTGCAAGAAACATCCAGTTTTCTTTGTTCAAAATTGTTTTAAAATAATCATATACAAGTCGATCAAAATCCATGTGGATATTAGAATATTTCACATTTCATTTTTCTTTTTTAACAAAAATGCACCCCGTTTCTAGACTAAGATAATAGTTAAAAATAAATGAACCATAATAGGCAATTTTAATAGATTGAATCGAGATGGCAACACAACAATAGCAGTAACAATAACGACTTACGATTAAATGTGTGAAGAAAACGATGTTTAACGGTATGTTAACATAATGAAAATGCGATGCTCTTCCTTAGTACGCATTAAATAGCAGAAACAGCCCTCCATTCGCAGAATTCGTGTTCAGATAGTGAACTCGATCTCCAGTATCTTGGACTAGCTCACGTGTACGTCAAATGACAGATTCGGTTCCGGAAGCGGGCCAGCCTTACTGTTTCTATAACCCGTCATCTTCAAAAGAAAAAAAATACAGATATATAAAATCGCCAAATTTTGCATCCGTCTTAGAGCTTCCGCACAAGGTGTTAAAGACATATCTTTACGTTACGATTTTTTCTGTGCGTTGACTGAAGTTTAAGTTTATGTACGGAGTTAAATTTACAATCTATACTTAACGTAACGTAATGCGATACGGAACACCTTGTGCGGAGGCCCTTAAAGTTTCACTCAATTATTGGGAAATAAAATTCGATTCGCTTTCGTCTCTTTTATATGTCGAACATGAAGTGAGAATGTGTTCGAGAATCCGGATTTAATTGAAAAGGTCGCTCTGATACAGGTATTATCGCATCGTGACGCAAGTAAGGGAATCAGATCGAATTAGATCGCGCGTAAATGCAAACGTAAAAACGCTTTATGCGAACGCTTGGATCATCCCTCCTCCCCGCCCCTCCTCCACCCTCGTCTCCCTCGATCCCCCGGATCGAGGAGACTGTACCCCATCTCCACGCATACCGCGAGCGCAGACGAAGGTGGCAACGAGTCCCGCGGGGGCACTGAAGTTAACTACCAGATCGATGTCCGACCCCAGCCCACGACCTCGTCTCCTGCCTCCCCCGGCTCGTGAAACCAACCCCCAGCACTTGGACGCGACCGAGAGCTCGAGTTCTGTCGAGGCGAATCGGGAACAACTTTGTCGCGGTTATGCGACCCGAGTCGATGATTTCTTCCCCGTCGGCGAGACGTCGCACGAAAACTCGCCCGTTCCGTAAACACGATTATCGCAGACGTCTAATGGTTATATTCGACGACCGCAATACTTTGAATTTACACAGGATAATTGGAAAAGTCAAGTTTCGATAACTAAAGGAAGATAAAAAGATCTTTTTCATAATTTCAGTAAAAATTAAATAAATCAATAATTCTTCAGATTCTTTTTTTTTACATAAAATTGACGTACAGTCGATTTTAAATAGAAGTGATATAAGATAGAAGTGGTCAATAATTTCAATCAATTCTAATAAATAATTTTAATTAATTCTAATAAATAATTTTTTCTTTTTAAACAAAATTATCAAGAAAATATCAAAAAAGATCATTATTTTAATTTTCTAATTCACAGATAGAGAGAAATATATTTAAAAAATATATATATACACATATATCACAGTAGAATATTTATATTAAAATTTATAATAATGTATTACCCATTTATAATAAATTACATTAATATAAATATTTATATTAAATCGTAAAATTAAATTTACTTTACTTGATCTTCATCAAAATAATTTTGTTGACAAACCTTTCAAAAATTTCAAGGTCTCGACGAGTGAGTCTGACAATATGACAAGCCCGACGGAGAGATGAACGCTGCGGAAAATTAATGGACTTGCTGCATAACCGTATCTATGGTCCAATTATTGCCGCGGTGCCGATTATACGAGGGTTCGAATATAGTTATTCTCCATTCGCCGATATATCATTGTTTCAACGGAAGAGAATACCATCGCGAATGATGTAAAAGCGACGAACTTGATATCGCTGGGTCTTTATATTCGTTTCGAATCCATTTGTCAAGAGAAGCTAGATCGCGACGTATGAGAAAGTCATAATTATTAATTAGAGTTTGACAATTATTTAAGTCCGTGTAGACGGATAATGCAAAATATATATTATTATAAATATGTAAAGATTCACACACATGCGCGCTCGTACACATATATTGCGTAAATTTTCAGATAATTAAAAGATTTATAAATAATTATTATTCTAATTAATTTAGGTAGCAAGAAATGTGCTTTTTATATGTTTACTCGTTTTCTAGGAAATATTTTGATGGCGATTTAATGTTACATGTTTTATGCATTATGCACGCAGCATAATATCGACGCGATAGAATTAATATTAAATACAACTGAGAAAAAAAGTGGTATTTCGAATCAAATTTATCCAACGATGTCGCACCGACAAAGAGAAGCCGCTCATTTGAAAACCGCGACACATAATAAACGAAAAGATGAATATAAATTCTATTCCAAATATAAACGCACGCTTTTTTTACTCACCATGATGCTAAAGGTGTTAATATGACATTTAACGAAATCGTTCATTTAAATAAACAACAATTTAAATAAACAAAACTGTGAAACAATTAATTACATATTCTATTAAGAATAATAATTTAAATTAAGAATACATATTCTAGTGTATTTATTATACAAATTCAAAGTTAAAATATTTTAAATATTATATAAAAATGAGAATAAAAAATAGAGAGTTAGAAGTTCAAAAATTAAAAATAAGTTTTTAGGTTCTTTTTAGGTCCTCCGTTTGTGATACTGTCTGTTCATCGTTATCCCGCATCAGGACGGCTTTTGATGTCAAAAGATGAATCTTTCTCATATTTTTCAAAATGTGACGAAAAGTACAATAGGGTCGCTAGAGACTGTTTGCGATATTCGCAGAACGCACGTGAAATATAGCAGTTAAACTAACGGGAAAAAGGTACGAATGAAAGACGATAAGAAGGAACATCGGCGTCAAGCTTTTTAAGGATTAAACGAAAGAAAAGGAAGGACAATCCGGTCGGCAGCCTGCGTAATTGGACCCGAGACGTAATAGTTTTTACGTACCAGAGTTTCTGACTGCAAAGGATGCTTCTCTTTGTTCGACTTGTGCTTGGGCTCCATCGGCCCACGTCGGAAAACACCAAATAGATTCTTTTATGAGGGCCATAAACTGTCTGAATCTCGATTCTCGAGTATCGATGGTTCCAAAGGGGCTAATCTGTTGATGAAAACTATAATAAAACGTCGACTCTTCGTCACGTATTTTGGAATCCTTTCTGCGCATCCTTACCGAGATATTTTCTGCCTTCCTCGTGTCATTTGTCGAAAAATATAAATTGTTGTGTATATTTTTTACATACACACGCGTGTTTTCTTTTTTTTAAACTGTTTTATCTCTTTATATGTTTTACGTTATAGATACTTAACTTACATATTTTATATTTGAAAATTTAATCTATATTTTTGACATTTAAAAAATTTTGAAGACAAAATATATCTTATCATTAATTATATTTTCGGGAAGGAAAAAAAGAAATTACGTGCAATAATATTTAAAAGTTAATGTTCCTTTGCCGTCTAAAAAAAGTACAAAAGTAATAAAAAAATTTATTTATATATAATTATTTTTTAAATTTTAACAAATTTTTTCAACGTCTTTTTTTGAAAATGAAAAACTTATCGTAAATTTATGAAACTCTTTATAATAAATATATTATGTATTTTAATTATAAACATTCTCTTTATAATTTTATAATATACAAATAAGTCATTAATAAGAGAATAATTAAATATTAAAATAATTAGTACTATAATTGTCACTAATAAAAAAAATTGTTAATAATAATTTACTTGCTACAAGAACTAGAACAGGTTTACGAAGGAGAGCAAAGATACAATTAAAAGAACAAATATTTTTGCGAATTGTTTCTGATTGATCTAAATTTATTAAGATTTAAGGATCAATGAACAAAGTTTTATTTAATGATTGTTATAAACATTTGTTATATTTTTTAATAATAATGCGGAAAATATTTTACACAATATTCGTTTCATTTCTTTTGCATTATTCTCTTACTCTTTATTATTATCTGTAGTAGACACATCTTTTTTCCTCTCTTTCGTCGAAAATTGAAAATAATCGATTCCTGTTTCAAATGTGTTTACAAACTTTGTATATATGTCGTATATGTGATCATATGTATGTGTTTTATTTCTCATGTGTTGGAAATGTGTTGGATCAACACATATAGAATTTCTTAAATGCTTCTTTTTTCTTCATGGAGATATAAGAGCTAGTATTAATTACACATGTGCTATCCATTTTCATCTTTAATAAATCATAGCATAAAGCAGAATTCTACTATATCTACATTTAAAATACATTTGTACTTGTTGCAGCTGAATTTCTGTTAGTGGCGTCCCGGCTAGGAATAACACTCCAACTAAATTTACGAAATGTCTGTTAATATATATTATATGAGCGCGTTACCTTTCATCGATAAAATATTGTTAGCTTCCTGTTTCAAATCGTCAACAAGATATAAAATTTGTATAAAATTTTTTTTCACGAGATTTATAAAACCTTTTAAAAAAAATCTTACAAAGGTAAAAAAATACAAGTACATAAAAAATATTCCACCTTGTATGTAACAAAACGTTTAATAAAAATATACTCTTATAACAAATAATTTATAAAAATTTTCTCTCAAAAAATATATAATTTTCCTAAAAAAAATCAAAACTAAATATAAAATCAATGATTAATTAGCCAAGTACATTGAAGCAATTGATAGGGATTTGTAATTTGAAATATTTGTCACAAATTCAATCATGCATTTATATATTAGATTCTCGACAAAATAAAAATGAATTTCAAAATAAGTTCCAAGTAAATTTGGAACTAAAAAAATTAAGACCAAAACAACTTATAAAAACTTGGCGTGCTCGGGTCGTATTACAATTCATATATTTCTATAATTGAAATTAATTACAGGTATATAATTCGCAAACTTTGTAAAATTATATGTATTATAATGTGACCCGAGCACGCCAAGTTTTTGTAAGTTGTTTTGGTCTTAATTTTTTTAGTTCCAAATTTACTTGAAACTTATTTTGAAATTCATTTTTATTTTGTCGAGAATCTAATATATAAATGCATGATTGAATTTGTGACAAATATTTCAAATTACAAATCCCCTTCAAATTGCTATCAAGGGATATTGTTTTTATATTATTATATTATTTTTTATATTATTATTATATTATTATATACTTTTATAATATTTTTATATTATTATATCATTATTATAATTGTTTTTATATTATATAACCGCACAGGTAACAATACTATTTTCTTATAATAGAAATTTTTAGAAAAATTTCTATTAAAGTACAATATTTTAAAAATGTCGATAAAATATATTGTATACTTTGCTACAACTGTATAGTTACAGAAAATATAATTATAATAAAATTTTCACACATTAATTATTAATATTTTATGACATTATTTTTCTAAAATATATTACATTAATATTATTACATCAATTTCTCATAATATATCATTTTTATCGTGCGTTTTTTCTTTGGATACATTTTGTAAAGTTTATAAACTTTTTATTAGATATTTTTTATTGTTCTTTTATTTTACATATGTTATATAATTTGTATTTATATAATATGTATTTATCATTCTTAATTATTTATTATTCGTAATTGTTTTGCATATAATTTTCCAATTATTATACTAAAAGTATATAAATTGAATTAAATTTTTATTTGTTCAAATTTAATTTTGTTTTTAAATGATATGTATTTATCTTTTAGTCAATTATATATATTTAGTTTTTAGTCGCATACAGACAAATCATATTATCGAAAACTTTTATCATATAATTGAAAAATTTTAATAATGTTAGCTCTTTCTATTATCTTTTATTTCATTCGACACAAATTTACAAGATGTCGTTACTTATTCTTCAGGCTACCATTTGCTCGCTATAGAACTCAAGTCTTCTCACCTTTTATATTTCCCTCACCTGTTACCATGGAAATTGTCACCATGGAGATTAGAATACCGTGAACAAAACAAACCAATCAGAGATCTATGAAACAGATGATTGTATAGTTCTTGATAACTTTAAAGCGAGAAATCTAAAAATTTTGTACAATACACATGTTAAAAAACAGTAATTTAAATAATTCAAAACTCTGTATTGATGTAAATAAATTATGTAAACGAGTTTCTGAATAAAATCCTTCTGTAATCGACATGTCTGCCTCTCATATCGACTTCATAAGTGGATCGACGCAACATTCTCAAGACAAAGCCGACCAAGATCTCGGCCTTTGCTATGCATATCCGGTGATCAATGAAGATCGTGAAACGAGCAACGTGCTTGTAAAAAGTCGAGGCACCCTACGAGTGTCGGATGACGGAAATTTATCGGCCACGGAGGACGGATTGTACGTGTCCGAGAATCCCCTTACCAGCAAGATAATCAAGCCTTATCAGCTCGACAATGTCAAACGACTGGACTACGAATCGCGGCCGCGATTTCGCGAGAAGCTCGTGGAAATCGCGATACGCGAGATTCGCGTTCACTCGCCGCGCGAGCATCAATCGAGCAACACGACCGAAAAGATCGAGATTACCTCGGTGTCTATTCTGTTCAAGGGAAGACCAGTATGCAAAGTAAACAGCCCGTTCAACAGACAATTGTACAAGCTGTTGATCAGAGATTCCGAGCACCACGATCTCTCGATAGAAGTGCACACGCGACACGGTGAGTCCAGCGTGCTTCCATTACCGTTGCCCCAACGTTGCAAGGTCAAGGATTATAAGACAGACATAGACTTCGCGATTGGCGGCCGTTCGCATGGGATACACGCTGGGATCGTCGCCTGCACTATTTCTCTATCAACGTATGGCTCTATTGACGAGCCAAAAGAAAACAGCGGGTGTTATCTTTACAGACCGAGCAACGATCCGAACGATCCGCAAAACGGCCTTTCTCTGCTGAGACCGCAGAGGAAACGTCCCACCAGCAGAAAAAACGTGGAATATTTTTTGCTGGAAGATCCGACTTTGATCTTCGACGTTTCCGACGTCAGACCAGCTCGTAAGTCGTCTCCTCTGGAATCTAAACATTCGGACATCGTAGTGACCGAGCATCCGGCATTTTCTCTACTAGATGTATCCTTCAGAAATCTTTTCCGCTCTAATCGACCGCTCAGACCGTCGTCCAGCGCTCATCACAGCAGGCATCACAACGTCGGAAGAACAATTCTCACCGTTAACGTGTTGCGAGGGGTGGAGATACCGGTGAGGGAGGAATCGGCGCTCGTCTCCCCGCTGCTGGAGGTGGAATGGGGTAACATTGTTCGTGCAACCTCGGTCGCGGACGGGCCCGCGCCCGTCTGGCAGGAGACCCTACATTTGGATCTACCCAGACAAAACGGAGAGCACTGCATCAAGTTCCGCTTATATGATCAGCACCCGGTATGGGGCCAACAGTGGCTGGGCGAGGCGAGGATCCCGCTCGAGCGTCACAGGAACTATCAGGAACTCGAGCGTTGGATCGCTCTGTCACCCCTCTTTAGTCCAGCGTTGCTGTTCGGTTACGCGCAAGCCAGCCCGGGACAATCGCACACCAGAATTTACGTGCTGATGAGGCTGGAGCAGCCTGGAAGCTCAATGGAAGCTAGCGCTATCGACGCTCTGTCCAAGGGCGTCCAACGTTGCTTGGCGCATCCTTATCAAATATCTGGCATAGAAACCCCTGATGATGCCGCTCGACTCGTCATGCTTCTATCGTCGTTGCCTATTCATTACGGCCCGGTCCCGCCACGCCAAGCTTTGAACGTGAATAAGGTTGATCATTATGGCAGAGCGGCTTTGCTAGCGACGTTGTTGCAGGGTTTTGGCTTGCAGTCCTTCGTATTGTTGGGTACATGCACAAATTTGATATGATATTTAAATTCCAATAATTTAAATATCGATAATATGAATAATATATTTAGTTTAAGTTAATTTTAATTCAACGTTATCAAAGTTTCATGTCTTAATATTTATTGTATTTATATTAAATCAAATTTATTATATTTTAAATTTATTATAATTTATTTAAATTTATTATATTAATATCTTTCTAGTCCCCTTCTTTACATAATCATCAACAACACATAAGTCAATTAAAGCTAGAATGCAGATCAAAATAGATGTCATGTTTTATGTTTGTAAATATTTCAGGTTCTTCGCAGATAAGTAAATGGACCGCATATGTTTTGACTACTCAGGAGCATGACATTGTTCTATGGGATCCCGAGATCGGGAAACATTATAAATTAAGCGACAGTTGTTGTACATTGATGAAGGTGTCCCGTTTAATCAATCACTCTGGCGTTAGTATAAAACAGTGATACAACTTTTATGGATCTCTAAGTAACGACACAAAAGCTCACGCAGACTCGTCTTTCCATCATCGTTTATTCATCTCCTTTTTATGGTTCTTTTATTCCTGTCTTTATTTTATGAGCGTTTGTCGTTTTTTTCAGATATGGGAAAACACGCAAAGGTCCACTCTGCCCCATAATTTGAAATACAATGTGACGATCAGCAAAGACTGGCGACCGATCGTACCTGTCACTACGTCATCGAACGTCCATCGATCCATTCAGACACTGGAATTAACCGTCACGGCCGAGGAAGATGTGCAGCTGCGAGAAAAGTCGTCGCAAATGGAGCAATATTTACGAGACAAATTATCGGGTTTGCGCAGCGCTCTCGGTTCGACGACGATATTTAATCGTCACGCAATGAACGTCTTGCGTGGGTTCATCTCCGATATCCCGAACGACGTGAAATATCAATTGGACAAGCGTGACCTGAAGCAATTATTCAGAGCCTACCATACGCACGGTTTCGTATTGAATCTGCGTCAAGCTACCCTTGACGAATTGGCGGAACAAATAGCCGCCACGAGGGTCCATAATATTACCGGTCCCGTCGAATTTGCTCTTGTTTGTCATGTACAACGATACGTCGGTAAGACATCTTCAATATGGTTAGCTCTAGCGATTTTACGGAATCGTTAATTTCTGATTGTCGATCGATGATCTCGTCGATCTATAAAATATATTGAGATATCTTCAATTATAAAAGATAAATAAACTTAGAATTAAAATGCTAATAACAGTTACAACAGAAACAAAACCGTCGTTGAGGGAATAAAAGACTGACTTTTGATACGTATTATTATTAAATATTAAATAACCGAATAGTAATTTTTGACTTTTTTTAAAATTAATCATTATATCTATTTTTAATATTTACTGATAAGAATCAATTAAATTAACAACTTTAAAGAATTAATTAAATTATAATTAAAATATAATATTATTAATTATTAATATTATTAATTAAAATATAAATTTAAAGATATTTAAATTTTCTTAAATATATAGAAGTGTAAATATCCTCTCATTTGTTCATTAATAATTTTATTTTTAATTTTTAGAAAAATTTATCTTATATATTCTTCTCACATAATCTTAAACAATCTAATTTGATATTAATAAGTAATAATTTTAAAGAAATTAAAAATGATGGCAAATATTTTTTCTATTTATCATAAATTATATTACAATCATAAATTATATTATTTATCAAAAATTATATTACGAATTATAAACTTCTTTAATATATAGGAATAAATATAAAATATGCAAATTGTGACTGAACATAAAGTCATGTGTGTCATATATGTCATATATGTCATATTTTCCATGTGAGAGAATTATTCCTATCTAAAAATTATTATTAATAAGATTTTTTTATGTTGTATAAATAACATTGGATTAATAAATAGAAGAAAAACTCAATGGAATTAAACATGTATTTCATTTCATTCGTACTATCGAATCAAACTATTTAACATTTCCTCGATGCTTCGTCTTTTATAATTGTATATCGTTATATCATAAAAGATTATGTCATAGAATTAATTGCGTTTAGTTGTCATCATGCGTCTAGTGCAATTTTCTTAATTCCATGATATACCGTTCCTTTTTTAAATTAGGGAAAGTTTTATTTTATATATATATATATATATATATATATATATATATATATTTGTATATTATGTGTACAATAAATATAATTATACAATATGTATACGAAAAGAAATTATTTCATTTAACATTTAATCAAGAACACAAAGAAAAATTATTTCGTAATATTTAATGATTAGAAATTGAATATTAATGGAAAACTTTATATAGAAAGAACAGAAAAATAAACGTGAATCGTAAAGAATTAACATAATGCATTTTTTTTCGTTTAAACATTGCGCAGCAATGCCACTTTTATAACAATTGCATCATCCGTTACATTATGTGTGGGTACGTGTACGTGTGTGTATGTGTGTATATATGTATATGTGGATAATGAAATAAACACATTAATAATAATATAATTACTAAAAGAGATTGAGAAGTATGTATATTAGGAGGAAACATACAATTCGCGCAAATAATAACGAGCCATCATTACTTACGATTATCTCGTAACTTATGCAAGGGCTAAGAGTTGCTGTATCTGTTCCGGGGATAAAAATGTAAATTGCACCGTGGATGAAAAGCAGATTCTACGTGAATGAGGGAAAACATGTTGTGATATGAACGTTTTCCCTGTTTCTCTGCAAATTTTTCTCTCTGCTTCTACAATTTTTTACTGCTATCGTAATTCTTACTGCGACAAAAACGCCTCATTTGCATATGTACACACCTGGATTACTCGTTGTAGAAAAGTGTCCGTATAAAAATCTGCGTCTAACCGATCGAGATACGTTGTTTTTGTTCAAAAATATACGTCGTTTAGAAACGAATAAGAAATCTATCGTTTATCCAAATGTGTAATTGTTTAATAAAAATGGTCGGATTTTTATAAATCTCCCACGAATCTCTATTTTGTGCGCGAATCAGTTGAAAATTAATTATGTTATAGGCTTTCCGCGTGTTATTGATACATTTCTAAATGTTTATGCATACAAGATTCATTTGTAATACCGCTCGCGAAATTTAATTCAATCAATTACTAAGTAACGATAAAATTGACAAGAAGAAGAATAAGAACCAAATTGGAGCGCAAATTTTTTTTTTCTTATCAATATATTCTAAAATATTTAATAAAGTATTTACTAAAGTATTTATATATTTTAACGAAATTAAATATTTTAGGATATATTAATAAAAAAGTTTTTTCTCTCGCGCTCCAATTATCACGCCTTACTTTATATTTGTCACTTAGTAATTGTTATTTTGAACCTATCATTTACTTTTTTATTTTTTAATCGAATCAATCATCCGAACACAAGCGTGATACTTCGCATACATTTCACTACAAACATTTCAGAGAATCGAGCGGATTAAATTTCGAATAGGACTGGTCCTATTGTTTTATTACAGCGAATGTAACTTCCCGCGACAAACGGAGAAAAGAGAGACACCCTTCTGTTAAAAGTTTTTCGTTAATGATTTCTTTTCTGTCTAGCCATCCCCAGATAATTAGACCTTCCTTCGGTCTATTTATCTATCTTTCTTCTTGTTATTATTTTTCTTAATTTAAATAATCTTAATTGTAGAGAAAGGTTTCTCGAGCTTGTTTACTCCGACTTTTAAAAGAAGATTGTTTTCTTTTGACCGTATTTTGATATCTATGTAGACCTCTCGCGCTCCAGGTCTCCTCTTAAGATGTATGAGACCTATCGCGCTAATCACTACGTACTCCAGTTCCAGAGCGCCTCCGGCGTGTATGTATTCCTTAATATGTACATGTGTAGTCGTGCTAAGAAATCAGCGTCATGCCGCGAATGTACAGTTGATTGAACTGAGATGAGGGAGAAATCGCGTATCGATAACTTTGGAATCACGTTTGCTCACGAACACAATCTCTAAATAATATCCCCGATTCTCTTTTCCTCTTTTTCTCGTTCCCTTCCTTTTTTTTCCTATGTTATAAACTAACGTCGACACTGACCGTCGCCGATTATGCAATATTACTAACGTCCGTGACTATTTTTATCGTGCTTCGCGAGCGTCATGTGTCGTCGGATTCTCGATAAGGAAAGATTCTCAGAGGAAGATTCATTGGGTCTTCCTCTTGGTCACGCCGTTCGTGTAACCGTTCGCATGTCCGTTCGCGATCGCTGCACCGTTACTGAGCGTTGCATCAGCTTTTAGTTGCATATTCATCAACTTCTCCTTGGCTTTTAGCCTTTCTAGCCGCTTCTCCGCGTACACCTGTTTACCCTGCAAACAAACATCGATGATATTCGCGTCAGTCGTAGAGTCCGGAGTTCATCGAGGATTCAAAGACTAACCTTTGTGATGTAAGCTTTGGCGTAGAAGTTCCCAAAGAGAACGATGAAAGAGAGCATGTAGATCACAAGTGCGTATTGCATCCAGAGCGGGAAGTCGCATCCCGACCGAATGCCGTTAATGCCCAGAATCAGAGCGGTTGTAAACTGAATGAGCTGAAGAATCGTCAAGTACTTCTTCCACCAGAGATACTTGCTCACCGAGCGACCTAACGCGGCGAGCCCGTAGTACGAGTACATCAGCACGTGGATAAAGCTGTTCACCATCGCTGGCAGGAAAGCTGTAAACATGCGTGAATGACAAGAAGAACATGGTCGATTCACTTTCATTGCTAGTAAATAAAGCGACTTTTTTATTCCAATATGATATAATTAAATGTTAGAAAAATATTCTAAAAAGACAGATAAGTTTATTCTAATCAATCTAATAATAAAACATCTGTTGGGTTGCTTTTGGCAAGTTTTCTAAGTCACCGTAAGAAATCACTCAATTATTATAATAAATTAATATTAATGGAGAGACAAAACACTTACTAGATCCGCTCGGTACCCATTTGATACCGATCCACCATAACGAGAACATGGTGGAGTGATGATAAACGTGGAGGAAGCTCAACTGATTGTCCTTCTTCCGCAAGATGAAAAAGAACGTGTCGCAAAATTCCAAAAGTTTGCTAAAGTAGTACCACCAAACCGCGTGAGCAATCTGCAACGTAAAAAGCATCAGTATTCTTGAACAGCTTCTTCTTGCAACTTCATACATAGCTTAAAACCTTATTTATTTCAATAAAAAAAAGAAAGGTGCAAAAAATTTTGCTTTCAATAGAAAATTTTTTTAAATCAATTTGAGATGCAAAGATGTAGGAAAGAAAGTTTTTCTCCGAAATTTCTTACCTGAAGTTCATCGGGGCGCGTAATGTGCTTTATTGGCTGACACACGTAACTGTATCGTAGTCTCGTGGATGCTACGAACAACTGCAAAGAGATATCGATGAAGCGCACTTTCCGTCTAGTGAAAGTGGATACGTGAAAATACGTGAAAATAAATGAAATGATATTTTCTCGTTGCCCGAGACAGGAAATAATATACTCACTTGAATGGCAATATAAGCATTAAGCAAGGCCATGGCAAGGTTGTAGGGCACCAATGCCCATGTTAATTTGAAAGCTTTCCGCTTTTTCATGACCTTCGGACCCGCCCAAACAATGAGGAGATACAATAACGTGTATATTAACGTTGGTTTCGGCGAATCAACTAGTAACCATCCTCTCGTCCTCTCGTCTAAGAAGCAAATTATAATATTTGACGATATTTTTCGTATTTATTTAAAATATATAATTTATTTTTTAAATATTTATTTACAATATAACAATATTTATTAAGAAAATTTTTATGTTATATATTTATGTGATATAATTTTCTATATAATAAAATAATTTTTTTATTTTTTTCATAAATTTATATTAACATTTCTTGCGTAGATTTCTCATAATTAAAATACTTACTATTTACATAATTAAATATTAATACATGCACAAATATGTTAATAATACATAATTAAATTAATTTGTTTTATTTGTAAATATTTATCAAAGATTTATTAAATACATCTACCCGTGATATATTATAGGGGAGAGAAACAATAAAGAAACAAATATTACAATTGAAATACCATAAAAAAAAATTACCTGCGAGGGACAACGTCCAGAGGTAGTAGTCGTATGCATCGCTGATGAATTGCGCCGTCGAATTAATGAGGCTCGCCATCGCCTGCAACAACACGAAGAATTCATCATTCTCAAATCCGTAAACACCTTGCGAATGAACTTGCATTTACGGCTTACATACGGGACAACCGATGCGTCAAGTCACATTCTCGGCTTTAATCATACACTGTTGAGAAGTGACGGGTCGCCCCGCAGGTTCACAGCGGCAAATAATTTTAATAGAATGGCCGCTTTCTATTGTCATACGCCTCATCTTTCAGTACCACCTTGACCGAATACTTTGAGCTTAGGCACGAGATATCGGAACAAGACCACTATTTGCCCATCGACGAAACCGCGTAGTCAAGTACTTTGTCACCGACAACGATTTTTACTGACGTAGCAAATTCAACGACATCGCGAAACAAGCGCTCGTGAAATATGCATGACTCAAGAAAAAATCGGCATTTTACATATGAGTGTAATAATTTTAATTCGTTTATTTTAATGCCATTTTCCGTAAAGAAAAGTGATATATATAACATATGATCAAATAAAAAATATGTCTGATATTTAAATATATATTAAAAATATGTCTGATATATTTTCTTTCTCTTATCTTTCTATAATTTTTTATTTATAAATACAGGAAAACTGAAAGGAAAACTGAAAGGAAAAAAAATAAAAAGAATAATTATTGCATATTTTTTTTTTAGAGAAAGATATTTGAAAAAATATATAAAATTTGCTCATACATAAATTTAATATTGCTTATATGATTACATATAAGCAATTTTTCAGATTTCTACAGAATTCATTCATTTCATTAAAAAAAATAATTCAAGAATTATTTTTTAATCATTCTTTCTATTTCTTTTGTAATATATAATTTATACAAGAAAAAGAAAATATGTGTAAATATATTTTATATTTATTTGTTTTTATATAGACTCTTTATATAAATTTTTGGAGATATATAAATTTTTTATAGATTTTTTATGCTTTGAAACAATTACAAAACTGCGACAACATTGTAACCCATGTGACCAGAAATAGAACCAGGAAAAAAATTGTGTGTTAAGAATTAAGGCACGTAACAAAAACGTATCCACATTGTATAAAGTGTTGATCAATTGAAAGGAACTTGCGATATGTATACATTTATTAATATATAATTAATCTCTTTAATAGCAATTTCCTCGATGCACATTACTCGGTCATTCACTTGGCCATTCACATCGTAGAACATAACTTTCACACTCCGAAGAAAACTATTACCACGCTATCTCTCTATAAACATGTTCCGATGAACACTTCTCTCCTTTGAGCAACTTGTTGTTGAACAAATCAATCATCCATCAACTAACATATCTAGGAAAGTTACTTTCATTGAGGCAGTTTTTTGAATTTTTAGCACAAGAATAAGTTTTTGTATTAACAAAGATTCATGTCGCGATTGATACCAAGCAAAATTCTTTTGCGATCGCAAAGATGGATCTATCGCCTCAAAAAGGAATGAAATATTTTGGAAAAATGTATTACTCAAGATAGAATGAGAATCGATAAAAAGGGGTCTCACCGATTGCAAGAAAAACCTCGCGAAATATCTGGAATTTTAGAATTTGAGATTTTATGGAACACACAAAAACAGATTGTTGTGACATACTGCATATTTACACCTCAGCAATTATGGATAATAATCATAATAACAATTTCATGCAATCGACAAACGAGTACTATTTAATATGTCATATCATATGATTATGATATGACATATTAAATCTCCATTTTCCTAATTACCTAACATTACGCATTAATGTTAATGATTTTAAGAAATTATATTTTCCTTAAGTTGATTATACATATTCCTTTATATACACATCTTTATATTCAAAAATCAAACTAATTTCTATTCGCAAGAAGAAGAATTAATAATAATCAAAATCACATGTAAACTTTCAAAATCCTCGTGGATAATGATTGGAATAAGAGAAAAAAAGCACGTTTTTTTAGAAAGTCAAATTTAAATCATCCATAATTTTAAGTTTATCATGTTTGCTCGCGAATTGATTCGACAAATTTCAATTATTACATATACATTATAATGATTATAATGTAAATGATTTTGTACATATCAGAAAGTTATTTTTCAAACAAAGACGGATTAAAATCAGTGTTTAATTATCTCGGACGGAAGCAATTATTATTTGTATAAAAGTGAACTCGCATCACACGCGATGGAAAAACGCTATTAATCATTTTATACGATCGATAAAGTGTAAATTGATTAATATCATTATTAAAATGTAATACCATTAATTATCATATGATATATGACAGCAAAAAAACGAATGTTTTCGATACTGCTAAAGAGAAGCACAAATGAGAGAAATCTATGAAATTTTTAATTAAAATTCATCCTGCTTTTAAGAATCGCATGCCGTGCGTAATGAAAGCAATCGTACCGCGAATCATACGGACGATAATAAAGTACAATGAAAGTTATATTATAATACAATTATATATAATTCACATATATGTATATATGATTCGATAAATTTGTAAAAACTTTATAAAAGAAACTTTTTTCTTTAATCTCTTTTAGAGAAAGAAGGAGAGAAAGATTATAAATTTTTTAATTATTTAAAACTTCATGTGCACAAATGTTTGCATACATTTTAATGTACCTTTAATATTCAGATCGCGAAAACAATGTGTAATAAGTTTAAGCTTTTAGTTAAACTTAATCGTTTGAGTGCCAAGCAGCGCATCCTCCCAAAAGTGTCAGCGCATCAATTTGTAAATTCACAGTAACTACACGTTTGGTTTTTGTCGAATCGTGTGACTTAAACAGTACTTTTACTACTTATGCTCAAAGGAATGTCAGAGTAACACTAAATTTGAAAAGATAACAAGGTGTACACTCAAATCTTGAAGATAAGTTCCTTGAGAATTCCATGATTTGCCAGGTATTTTTGTTTAAAATTCCAGGTAAAATTAAAATAAGTTCATACGTTCGTTTATACATTCGTTTATAAGTTCGTACGTAAACTTTTAACATAAATTGAAAAAAAAATAAAAACATTTTAATATAACAACATGATAATTATGAAACGAGCGAAAAGAGCCTAAAAACGCGGATGGTAATGCGTACATTTTTTTTCCATTAATTTCATTTTTTTAATATTAATTGTTCGCGAAAAAAATTTTTTTAAGACGTGCACAAGATATTTATACATATATTTTACTTGGTGTATATGCCAAGTTATTATACATTTTTTTTTTTTTAATGTACGCATTACCATCCGCGTTTTTAGGCTTTTATCGCTCGTTTCATAATTATCATGTTGTTAAATACATAGAGCCGTATTCTTTAACATTTTAATATATTTTAATAAAATTTGGACAACACAAGAATTTTATTATGTATATATATATATATATATATATATATACATATATTTATAAAAAATATATATATATATATATATATATACATATATTTATAAAATATATATATATATATATATATATACATATATATTAATATACACATATTTTTTTAATGCTTGAATCTGTTCTTCAAGAACATTCGCCTCTTTTTGGACATTCTCTAAAATTATTATATACGCTTCTTTTCTAATTTTTTCTAAAGTATTTTTTCTTTTTTTAGATTTCTTGCTCTGCAATAGATGTTCGATATCGCTCAAGATATTCTACACAGAGCGAATTTACACTTATAATATAAAAAAAATGATCAAAGAAGTAGTTTTTAAAAAATTTCCTGAGTCTTAATAAAATTCCATAAAAATTCCCCGATTTTCCAAGTTAAAACAAAAATCCTTGAGAATTCCAGGTTCTCTAAGTTTTTTCCGATAGTATACTGGATAATAATTATTGCTTATAAGTAAAAAACCTGGATAATAATTATTGCTTATAAGTACAATAAAAAACGGTGCTATCGCGCCGCTGGGCATTTTTCTATCGAGTCTATAAAAATCCGTAACTCTCAACGGTTAATATTGCAATAGATATGCAGATATGCAGATATGCAGATATGCATATTATTGTTAAAAAATTGACGTAATTACATTCTATTATAAGAAATAATTATTAAAATAATTTGAAATTTTCAAGGATCAATATGTAGGTTTGCTGACAACGGCACAATTTCCAAGTGAGTATTGCGACATTGTATTTTAAAAAGTAGAGCATTATCCACTGTTGAAATATATTTTTTCATCACAGTACTGTTTTTCGATCTTCAGCTTCAGAGAAGCTCTAATTTTACTATAAATTTCTGTTTTACCTCTTAGGAAAATTATCCTACCAATGTTATATTTTGTGATGTATGGACACTTTTGTGATATGGATTCAAAAATGAGAACCTTATTTCCATTACTTGCAATTTTATTATAAATATTTCATTAATAATTAATATTCCAAACGTAAAAATTCTTGTTTAATTTTTATATATATTTTAATATAATTTAAAAAATATATATATTTTTTAAATTATATTAAAATATATATAAAAATTAAACAAGAATTTTTACGTTTGAAATATTAATTATTAATGAAATACTATAAATATTAATGAAATATTTATAATAAAATTGCATATATATATATATATATATATATATATATATATATATATTTCTTTTTAATATATTTTTTCCAAATATTTGTACTAACAAAGAACACCTTTAACAACCCAATGAAGAAAAGGCTCTTGCCATATCGCAAAATTACCAAATTTATTAAAGAATTATTTCAAATTTTTTCTTGAAAATTAAATAATTATTAATTAATTATTAATTATTATAATTATATTGAAATAATTTTTTATATATATTTTAATATATATATTATATATATATATATATTTTTTTTTTTAAATATATTTTGTAAAAATATGTAGGACACTCTGTACTGACAAAAATTACCCTTAAAAATCCGATAAAGAAAAGACTCTTGCCATATCGCAAAATTGCCAATTTTATCAAAAAATTACTTACAATTAGACTTAGGATTTTCTTCTCGAAGATCAGATGAGACTAT